GAAAGGAAAAAAAAAAAAAAAAAAAAAAAAATAAACACACACACACACACACACACACACACATATATATATATAAACATATATATAAAATTCTTAAAAACTCCAAAGGCGGATACCATGCTGAAGATGGGATTCCAGCAACAGGTTCTTGAAATTTTGGAGCAGGTCCCTGAAGAGCATCAGACGCTGTTGACGTCAGCCACCATTCCCAAAGGAACAGAACAGCTAGCGGCTCGTCTCACCCACGAGCCTGTGAGCATTACCATCGGTCAGAAGAACCAACCCTGCTCCAACGTCCGTCAGATCGTCCTCTGGGTGGAAGAGCCGTCAAAGAAAAAGAAGCTCTTTGAGATTTTAAATGTAAGTATACTGTAGAAACCCTATTTGCTGTCTTGTTGCATGTGTTATTGTATTTTGGTATTATTGTGCAATGCATGATTCATCTGACAACAGGAAATGTGTCACATTACGTAAGTAAAAAGAATATTCAGGTTTAAAAAGAATCTGGATTGAATGCGTCTGTGGCCTGCTGTCGACTGACTTGTTGACAGAAATGCAGTTAGTGGAAGTCTATAGGGCAATCTTTGCCCTCCTCTCCAGAGGAAATGGGTGGGTCCTCAATTTGCTTTGCTCCAGGAAAACTAGCAGCGGCTCTTACCAGAGACCGAGAGCAGGAAATAGAGCATTTATAAATCACAAGCTGTGGAAATAAAATGACTGCCCCCAGGAAAATTGTCAATTGAAATAATATGATGTAATAATATTATATTATATATAATATTATATTATAATGTATAATAATACTATAATATATATTTGACATTTTAGAATAATTGTCTGTCAGAAATATGAAATAACCAATAAATATGAATGAATAAATATTCAAATGCAATTCTTTATTAATATTCTGTTTAATAATTTAGAACAATTGCCCATTAATATGAAATAACATAATTTATATTTAGTCATACATATGAATAAAAAAAGAATAAAATAAGAAAATTAATTCTTTATATTATTATTTAATAGTACATTAAATAATGTCCATCAAAATATGATATTAACATAATTGATCAATATGAATTCATAAATATTGAATGAATTAAAAAAATATATTTAATATTTTAGAATAATTTCCCATCAGAAATATGAAATAATAATTGATATGAATGAATAAATTATTTATTAATATTATAATTAATTATAAAAAATTATTGTCCATCAAAATTGGAATAACAACTGCTATTTTTTCTGTAAGTTAAAAATAAATAAATATATTCAACACAAAAGAACTGATTTTTTTTACATTGTTTCATTTATATTATATCTTTGGATTTGTTTTCATTACAATATTATCTACATCATGAATTTTTGTGTGCTCAGGACAGAAAGCTGTACCAGCCACCGGTAGTTGTGTTCGTGGACTGCAAACTTGGGGCCGATTTGCTGTGTGAAGCTGTGCAAAAGGTCATGGGATTAAACACAGTCGCTATTCACTCAGACAAGATGCAGTGGGAACGCAACAAAATTGTAAAGGTAATGAAAAAACTCTTTAAAAAAATTATATTATATTAGTTGGTATAAATGTATACATATTAAATAAATAAACATAATATTGTTGGTGTTTTTAGGGTCTACTTGAGGGCCAGTTTGAAGTGGTGGTCAGCACTGGGATTCTCGGTAGAGGACTGGACCTGGTCAATGTTAAGCTTGTAGTGAACTTCGACATGCCAGCTAACATGGATGAATATGTTCATCAGGTATGGCGTATTTCATAAATAAACATACACATTGAAGCATCTCATTTCTTTAATGATGACACACTATGTTTGAACCTTTCAGATTGGCCGAGCAGGTCGACTGGGCCACAGAGGCACCGCCATCACCTTCATGAATAACAACAACAAGCGGCTGTTTCTGGACATTGTGAACAGAGTGAAACCCACGGGCTCCATCCTGCCGCCACAGCTCCTCAACTCCCCACATCTGCACGAACAGCAGAGGAGAGCCACACAGAGGAGCAGCCGTGGAGAAGACATCCTCGTATCCAAGAGCAACCTCATCGACATCATCAGGAAGCATGACAAAAGATCTGCCAAGAAATAACAAGCAAATATATGTATTGCTAAATGTTTTGTTGCTGCTTTTGTAATTTGTATTTTCAATAAATGCTACAAGTGAATGAAAAAAATGTCTCTTCTGATTGTCTCCAGTATAATTACACACACAATAATAATGTCAACCCACATGGTAGAAATGTTAGTAATGTTAATGGAAAAGTAAATAAAAATACTAGGATAAAAACCTGTTAACTGCTTACTGTGCCTAATGCATTTGTTATTTTATATGCCAATACATGTACTTTTACTGTCAAGTATTGTAAAATGTTTGAGATAATAACATTTATTTTATTATTTTAAGCAGAGAAAGTCAAATTTAACACACACATATACATATATATGTGTGTGTGTGTGTGTGTGTGTGTGTGTGTGAGTGAGAATCACCTTCATTTTCTACAGTAAAATTTATTTAAATTAAAATGAATAAAAAATACAGTTGTTAATGTAAAAAAAGTTTTTAAAGTAATGATATAAGTAAAATAAAATAAAGCTGCAAGGATTATTTAAATCAGCATAAAAGCAGTAAAATACAGATTAGCACAATGTATGGATGTTTTACACGTATGTATATACACACAATTATATATATATATATATATATATAAAATATTATTTGTAACTGTTGATTATTTAAAATATATATATATATATATATATATAATTTATTTATTATTTAATAAACAATACACAAAATAATATATATTAATAATATATAATTTTTCATATTACACATTTCACAAACGAAAAATGTGGTGTGAAAATGTTCTTCATTGTGACTGAAATATCAGCGCAAAATGTATTAATGTTAATATAAACAGGCTTGATTTTCCTCATGTACAGTAAATACGTAAAGAGACACTGCCATCTGTTGGTAGGTGGGCGTGACTGCGCGTCAAACTGAGCTGACCAATCACAGCACGCCTGCTGGTTTTGAATTAGAGCGGCAGTATGGCGGTTCGCAGACAGTGAGGTGTTGTTTATATTGACGCTTTGAGGCGGCGTCCAGTCCGATACTTTCTTACCGTCGGAACGGTGAGTAGTAAACTGGACGAAGAAAGGACTGCGTTTTTTAAAAACCATAAACAAAAGACCTTTTAATATTTTACAAAACAGGATATCAACACTCGCAGGTCAGTTTTAGTTATGGGTTTACGTAAAGATGTATTTTAAGTCATTTGACAGATTATTCACCTCAGTGTACTTACAACAATTACATTTGTGGATTGTAGTACATGTGGGACAATCTTAAAACAATTTTATAGTCAAAAGTCTTGTTTTTTGACACAATTATGGATGGATCAAAAGAGATAGAGACCACATCATCTTTCAATAAAACCAAAGAAATAAACAGGACTTATGTGGTCTCAGCACTCACAAAATGTGGAGAAAACGCATTTAAAACGCCATCCTCTGGTGCCAGACTCACTCTTCAGAGAAAGCCCAGCAGAACCACTGCAAACCACCATGAAGAAACCACACAGGAGAACCAAAGAGGAGAGAAACGCCTGACCCTTCAGCGCCGCACCAGAACCAAAGTCCTGACCGAACCCAATCCAGCACCATCTTCAGCAAAAGAGACCCACGAAACCATCAAAACACCTGGGAAAACCTCCTGGAGTGCTCAGAAAACAAGTTCTGAGAAGGTCAGAGCCACCCATGATGAGGGTAAACCCGTTTCGACACCTACAAGAAGAACCCAGTTTGAGAAACTAAGCGTCAAGAGAGACGTCTATGAGAGGCTGGCTGGTAAAGATGCATCTAGACCCGCATCTTCCAAACACACAACCGCTGGAAGACAGAAGCCACCGCAGATGAGCACTGAAACGGCTAAATCAACATGTGGAGCAACAGGTGAGAAGGTTCAGATTGGTGGTTTAAATGGGCACATGACACCCGCCTCACGTTCAGCACAGGTGAGGAGACCCACAGCCCTAATGAGCTCCACAGCTCATGGAGGAGCAGGTGTTTCTAGAGCAGCTCCTGCTGAAGGACATGCTCCTCTTGAAGCTGTGAGCAGAACGAGTGCTCTACAACCCCAAGAGCTGAAGATGGAGAACAGTGCGGTCACTGTTGCAGTTCGAGTAAGACCTTTCAGTTCAAGGTAAGAAACCTTTCTAAACGTTTACTTTGGCGGCATGTTGTTTTGAGGCAAGTTTTAGTTTACAAATTTGTTACTTTAAAAAAAAGAACGTGATTGTCTGTCTGGGTGTATAAAACTTAATTAAAAATCAATTAAATCCTCAAAAAAATGTAAATCACTAAAAGATGTTCAACTTATTTGAATTACAACAAACATATTTATTTTATTCCCTTTTGTATAAAAAAAAAATAATAATAATAAAAAAGAGAAAGAGACATTTCATAAAATTGTGGCAAGGTGGAAGACAAGCATCCTAAATAATAATCACATTTTTGTTTTCATAATTTTTATGCACATTGTAATTTTGACAGCATTCGTTAGCCTTAATTGTTTAACCCTTTTATTTAATTTATTTTAAAGAAAAATATCAAACAAATATTATTTTTTGGGAAATATTATTTTGGAAATGAATAAACTATCACTAATTACAAACCAACAGTGGCCCTAAACTCTCTAACTCCTACTGAGTTATGCATTAATCAGTCAACCCTGTTACCCTTTCTGATATATTAAATTTAATATACTCTATTTTCTATTTACTATTTATTGAAAAATATTTATTTAGTGTGTGTATATATATATATATATATATATATATATATATATATATATATATATATATATATTTTTTTAGTATTTAGTTTGTATTATGTAATAATATTAATTATATTAATAACATTTATAATATTATTTTTATATGTAATATCTAATTAGTATAGTTATGATTAAATCTTATTGTGCACAGTGCCACTTGCATTAAAATTTTCGCTTTTTATTTGTGTTTGTAGGGAGAAGAACGAGAAAGCCCGTCAAGTCATCTTCATGAACGACCACGAAACTGTTGTGCAACATCCAGATACTAAACAAAGCTACACATTTACCTTTGACTTCTCTTTTTGCTCTATTAATGAATCGGATGCAAGCTTTGCCAGTCAGCAGGTGGTTTATGAAAAACTGGCTCGGCCCTTGCTTGAAAGAGCATTTGAAGGATTTAACACGTGTCTTTTTGCATACGGCCAAACGGGTTCTGGAAAGTCCTACACGTAAGTGATGATTCTCTTCGAAACTGCATTATTTATTTAAATTTTTTTTACAGTTAATTAACAGTACTTACAGTAATAACCATTCAGGGCTGCATTTCTCAAAAGCATCATAAGCTAAGTTGATCATAGAGACCATTGGTGGCAATGGATCTACGATCTACTTAGGTTTTTGAGAAACGCAGCCCTGATTAATATTTTTAAAGTGTCGTTTTGGATGTTTTCTAGTATGATGGGTTTTGGTGAAGAGGCTGGCGTTATTCCCAGATTCTGCAAGGAACTTTTCTCGAGATTGTCTAGAACTGAAAACAAAGAGGTTGCTGTCCCATTTGATGATTATTTATTTACAGTTTATGATTGAATTTATTTATGATATATTTATGATTGACGTTTATTTTCTATTAAAGATCTCCTGCCATCTGGAGATGAGCTATTTTGAGGTGTACAATGAGAAAATCCACGATTTGCTGGTGGCAAAGGATGAGCAAAACCAGAAGAAAATGCCTGTAAGTGCATTAACTCAATAAAACGCATTAAAGGGGTGGTTCACGTTTTTTTTTTTTTCTAGGCTTGATTGTGTTTATGGGGTGCAGTCTAACATGTGTTAATGCTTCGTTTTTAAAAAAATCGCATTATTTTTCAGATAATTTACCTTTATTCCACACCTCTCTGTCCCTTCTCTGAGAAACACGCTGATCATTTCCTGCTTTTATGAAGCCCCTCACTCAGAAATAGGTGGTGGGCTCTGATTGGTTAGCTATCCCAGTGTGTTGTGATTGGCTAAACCACCTCTAGTGCGCATCTAAACATCCCACCCCTCATCTCAGCGGCATGTTAATATGGTTTATCAGTTTGAGCCCGATTGAGAAGCAGAGGATATTATTGAAGAGGATTGTACAGATCCTGTGCAAGCACGGCTTTTAATGGTAGGCCTATGTTTTTTGTTTGTTGTTGTCGTCTCATACTTTTAGATACGCTGTTATTTGTAAATGCTACTGCTTATGTTAGCTTTTAATATATGGTTTTATCCTGATTAAAGTTTTAATACAGTACGGCAACTGCACGCGCGTCCATGTTTAACGCTTCTCATAGCTTTGTGAAAATAAGTGTATAATTGTAACTGTTCATTGTTGGAGCTGAGCTGAATGAGAGCGAGAAACAGAGAGAGATGCAGAGCGTGTGCAGAGCAGGGGACGTGAGGAACAGTATTAAGATCCGCTGCTTTAGAACATTGATTCTGAAACTTGTGAATCCATTAGAATTGTTAGAAGACAGAATCGTGATTCATATACAGTATGTGACCCTGGACCACAAAACCAGTCATAGTGGTCAATTTTTTGAAAGCGCAATTTGTACATTCTCTCAAAATAACATGCCAGATTTATTGCTGACAAAAGCAGCAGAAGTGCTTCAGCTCCCTCTTGTGTTCAGGTTACTCAAGGAAAGCCTTGGTGGAAACTCCAAGACGGCCATGATCGCCACCCTGAGCCCTGCGGCCAGTAACATGGATGAGAGCCTGAGCACGTTACGCTACGCCCAGCAGGCCCGTATGATCATTAATATAGCCAAAGTCAACGAGGACACCAATGCCAAACTGATCCGAGGTCAGTAACTGTTACAGCTCTTTATTCTGTCTGTCCATGTTTATGCTTCCTCAGCTGGCATACCTTCAAGAAGGGTGTGTGTTATAAGAAACACTGCACCGCACCTCTCCTCTAGAGGGCAGGATATTCACTAATGGGACGTCCTCAGGGGTCTCAGACTCAATAGGCCCTTTTCATAGTGACGTCAGCTAACTTCCGCTTTCCCGCAAAGCAGTGTATCTGTACTTCCGTTATACCTTTACACCGGAGACTTCTCGGGAAAATGTAGGAAAAACTTGAAATATGAAGAGTTATTTAAGAGTTAAGACTAATAATGTTAATGTACTTACAGTCGGGTTCTTTTGCGAACGTTTTTCTTCATCTGCTTTAGATGGGTGGCTTGCTTGCCACAAACTGCTTGCTTTCAGATTCATAGCCAAAGTCAACGAGGACACCAATGCCAAACTGATCCGAGGTCAGTAACTGTTACAGCTCTTTATTCTGTCTGTCCATGTTTATGCTTCCTCAGCTGGCATACCGTCAAGAAGGGTGTGTGTTATAAGAAACACTTCACCGCACCTCTCCTCTAGAGGGCAGGATATTCACTAATGGGACGTCTTCAGGGGTCTCAGACTCAATAGGCCCTTTTCATAGTGACGTCAGCTAACTTCCGCTTTCCCGCAAAGCAGTGTATCTGTACTTCCGTTATACCTTTACACCGGAGACTTCTCGGGAAAATGTAGGAAAAACTTGAAATATGAAGAGTTATTTAAGAGTTAAGACTAATAATGTTAATGTACTTACAGTCGGGTTCTTTTGCGAACGTTTTTCTTCATCTGCTTTAGATGGGTGGCTTGCTTGCCACAAACTGCTTGCTTTCAGATTTGTATGACAACGATTATGCGTTCACACGAAATACATACTTAAAACCTTTTCACTTGTTATTTCGGTTTATGTCATTCCTTGGATAATTTGTGAGTACACTGTGTAAATTAAATTCCCCTTGTAGTTGGGCAATAAAAAGACAAACAACATGATGTTTTTATTTACTATGGGGAAATGACATGGACACAAATCATATTTTTTATATTAAATCGTTTTACTACATGGCAAGTTTCACATCCATAAAGGCAAGTGGTCTGAAAAGAAACTCCTTATCCAGTTCAAGAATAAAATGGCTTAATATTGAAACAATACAAAAAGGACAGCC